AGTCAATCAGGAGAAGAAGTGGGAAGCCTGAATAACTTTCAGAACTGTATAAAAGATATCCTGTTTTTCTTTGTGAGTTTATGCTTGCACCTTTTGGAGCAAATTGCTTGTACTTGCATCCTTTTTGTCCAAATTGTAATAAACTGTGCCTTTGCCTTCAACCAGGGGAGCTGCTTATCTGTCCTGGCTGATTTAGTTTAGAGGATACTCACCAAGCATGGACCTCTTTGCCTGTGGTCCTAGCTGAAATCACTACAGGAGAGAGGAGATCCAGAAGGAGATCCTGGCTTGTGTGTTCTTCCTTATTACTAGCTTTTGTCATATTGACAGCAGTAATGCCACTTGTTCCACCAGTTCCAGTTTTCCTCTATGAAATGCAGAATATGTGAAGTTCTATATTTCTTTTTTATTTGGGATTAACCAACAGGATTCAGGCCACTATTTTGTTCCTCCTGGTTTTTCAGAGTGTTCATGTGTACTGTGTTGAGTGCATTGAAATACTTTGGAGTATTTTTTGCAAGAACTTATTTATTTCAAAATGTACAAGGTGAAGATAAATCAGAATGATTAATTAGATGTTGAGCTAGTCCCAAAGGATAACCATTTCTGGAAAGTCTCAGAAAATGCTGTCTGGGAGTTTGCAGAGACAATGCCGATCTAGGTTCCACCTGGAGCTTAGAGAGATTTTTAAGAAAAAAATCATATTATATGGTAGAAAAGCACATAAAATAATTGGATTATAATAGGGCAACTGATGTCCTCCATTGTTTAAATAAGCATTCAGGCATCGATTTTAGAGTTAAACATGCTGCATTAAATAGGTAGAACGGATGCTGAAGTTTCAGTGTTTTTCTCACTTCATAATAAGTGTATGAGGGCTGAACTATATACAGTCCCATTTGGGGAGAAGAGTGTGATATAAAACAATCAAATAAATAAGTATATACAAGCTCAGTCCCTATCAGGACACCAAATACAGATATAGGAGGCTCTTTCCATAGTGATGGCTTCCCCCCGAAATCCTCCTCTGTTTAGCTGTGTGGAGCTGAAAAAAGTTTTGCTATGGCAATTCTTCGTTCGCCCCTAAATAGGGTTCTGGGGTAAGGTAAGGGGAAAATTGTTGGGAAGGGGAGAATTTCAGGTACTCCTATCCTCACATAATCACTCCGATCTAAATCAAGTCCATACATACTTACTTTGAATAGAAAAAACCAAGTATATTTCATAAAAACACTAAAACAAATGATAGTTTGTATGGGAACTAGAAAAGACAATGAAGCTCGGCTGCGTCATACATATTAGTTGGCGGTACAGTGGACACTTGATATCCACTGTGGTTTGATTTCAAGATTCCCATGGATACCAAAATCTATGGGTGCTCAAGTCTCATTATAAACAATGGTGAAGTAAAATGATGTCCCTTATATAAAATGGCAAAATTAAGGTTTGCTTTTTGGAATGTGTGTGTGTGTGTGTATGTGTATGTGTATATATATATATATATATATATATATATATATATATATATATCTATATATATCTATCTATCTTCAAGCCATGGATGTTGAATCGATGGGTACAGAATCTGTGGATATGGAGGACAAACTACATTTAGCTGAATTCAGCAAGATTTATGACTTCTGTGCGGCATTAACAGGAATATAGTGTTGCTCATTTTAAATTATCCCACTCCATAGAGAGACAATCCTACTATTTTCCTGCTTATTTTCCTGTAATCGACATATACAGAGAAGGCACTTCTTCCTTTTTCTACAAATGGTCTGGGAAAGGTTACGTGGAATCTTGGAGTATATGGGTTTAAAAAAAAACACCCCACAGATTAATTACTTCCACAAAGCATATGGTGCACCAGGTGTTCTGCATCTCAAGTTCTAATCAAAATAAAATTGTCAGCAATTAATTGGAAAATTAGATTGATTGTTGGTGGTATCAACAAGCTTGATCAAGTTAGGTGAACTAGGACGGAAAACACCAGCATTTCAAAATCAAGTATGATGTGTACACACGAGAGGATTTTTATTAGAAAGAAGAAAATGGGAGAGATCGGGCATCCTTTGCTTCTTCATCCATTTTGTTTACTTTCTACTACAAAGAAGAGGAATTGTGGGATATTGGTCCATTATTTTATGACCTTTGAGTTAGCCTAATAAAAGTATTGCTCTAAACATGGGTGTCTTTGAAAGCAGTCATAATAATTAGAAACATTTTGATATAGTCAGTTACAGCCATGTGACTTTGTGTCTAACTTATGGAACCTTCAGCTGAACTTATCATAGGGTTTTCCTGGCAAGAATGAAAGAGTGACTTGTCCAAGGCTACCCAATGGCTTCCAAATAGCTGAACAGAACCCTAGCTCAAAACTCAAAAGTACTACAAGGTATATTTATTATATTTTCTGGGGTATGGATGGGACCTAAAATTATGGTAGCCTAAAATCCCTGCAGGAGAGCAATGACCAAGCTCGATAAAATTATTAAGAGTAGAGATATCATACTGGCAACAAAGATCTTCATAGTTAAAGCAATAATATTCCTCGTAGTAACCTACAGATGCGAGAACTGGACCATAAGGAAGGTTGAGTGAAGGAAGATAGACACTTTTGAACTGTGGTGCTGGAGGAAAATTCTGAGATTGCCTTGGACCACGAGAAGATCCAACCAGTCCATACACCAGGAAATAAAGACTGACTACTCATTGGAGGGAAGGATATTAGAGGCAAAGAAGAAGACTTTGGCCACATCATGAGAAGACAGGAAAGCTTGGAGAAGGTAATGATGCTGGGGGAAATGGAAGGAAAAGGGAAATCAAGGGCAACATGGATGGATGGTATCCTTGAAGTGACTGGCTTGACTTCGAAGGAGTTGGGGGTGACCACAGTCAACGGGGAGCTCTGGCATGGGCTGGTCCATGAGGTCATGAAGAGTCAGAAGCGGCTGAATGAATAAACAACAACAAAATTCCTGCTCCACAATCACCCATAGAAGGATGATTTGAGTGTTGGACTAGGGCTCTGGGATATCAGGTTTTGAATCCACATTTGGCTATGGAAACCCACTGGGTGACCTCAGGCAAGTCATACTCGCTCAGCTTCAGAAGAAGGCAAGGACAAATCCCTTCTAAACTAACCTTTTCAAGAACACCCCATGATAAAACAGCCTTATTAGTTCTGGGTGTAATGCATACTTCTTTTAAAAAAACGTTAATATCAGTTCATTATCAGAACTCATGGAAAAGAATATCCTGGGTAATGCCATCAACAGTTTCTACCACCTTTCATCTGAACCTAGATTGAAGCAACCAACTCTTTAAGGGCTCAATGGACTGTTACAATTTCCTAGAGGCTCCCAGAGCATGGAGTGAAGCCAAGACCACACAGTTCTGTCCAGATAATTTTCTGGGATCAGTCAGCCCTAATTTTAAAATAAATTTCCTCCAGTCCTTAAAACCACCTCCAGAAATATTCAGAACACTCGTGGGAAGGTAAATAAAGACACAGGGCAGGTCTAGCAGAAAAAGTATCTGAGAGAGTCTGTATTGTTTAGAATGGTAATTCAGGAAGGAAGAATTCCCAATTGGCCACAATACTCGGTGTTGAACTTGGATTAGACACTCTTTCTCATCCTAATCTAACTCACTGTATTATTATGTGATAAAAGGGGTATGAGCTTCAGTTCTGTGAAGAGCCAACTTGCCACTTGCTACTTACAGCCCAAACCTCTCCAGTGCATGGCAAAAAAATATGGCATGTGTCCTAAAACACTGTTTCTTAACCTGTGGGTCTCGACTCCAATGAGGTCCCCTTAGCTCAATGTGGGAGCCACAAAAAATTGGCAACAGTAAAACAGCCTAATGACTGTTTCAGGCATTTGAGCAAATCTGTCAGCTACAACTTGCAGTGTCTTCAGTAGACTCTGCAGAAAATGCTTCAGCTGTACTTCACAAAAAGGAGAAATCAGCCTGTTTAGCAAGCCTTGAAAACTGCTGATTGATCAGTAAATGTTTGATTTTATACCTATTTTATATACCTATCTACCCCCTCGGTGGATTGCCACTATGTTGTCACCTGCAGGCATAACTATTGGACTCCAACGGTTGCTTTTTTAGACTATATGTGTATGTGTGTGTGTGTGTGTGCGCGTGTGTGTGTGTTATGGATGCTTGAATTTGTAGGTGCAGAATCTGTGGATATAGAAGGTCAGCTGTAAATGCATGGGATAACATCCCTATTTTCTACTGCATTGTTATAATGGCAACATCTTTAGTTAGGACCCTTGCAATTCTAGATTAGTGTTTCTCAACCTGAGAGCCAGGACCTTTGGGGGGTCGTGAAGGGGTGTCAGAGGGGTCACCAAAGACCACCAGAAAACACAGTATTTTCTGTTGGTCATGGGGGTTCTGTGTGGGAAGTTTGGCCCAATTCTATTGTTGATGGGGTTCAGAATGCTCTTTGATTGTAGGTGAACTATAAATCCCAGCAACTACAACTCCAAATGTCAAGGTCTATTTTCCCCAAACTCCATCAATGTTCACATTTGGGCATATTGAGTATTTGTGCCAAGTTTGGTCCAGATCCATCACTGTTTGAGTCCACAGTGCTCTCTGGATGTAGTTGAACTAATATAACTCCAAAACCCAATGTCAATGCCCTCCAACTCCTTCCATTATTTTCTGTTGGTCATGGGAGTTCTGTGTGCCAAGTTTGGTTCAGTTCCATGGTTGGTGGAGTTCAGAATGCTCTGATTGTAGGTGAACTATAAATCCCAGCAACTACAACTCCCAAATGACAAAATCAATCCCCACCAAACCGACCAGTATTCAAAGTGTGTGTGTGTGTGTGTGTGTGTGTGTGTGTGTGTGTGTGTGTGTGTGTGTGTGTGTGTGTGTGTGTAGACTCCAGAGGGGGAGGCGGGAACATAGAAGGAGGCGGGACCTAACGAGGTGGGAAGCCAATCGCAAGCCAGCTCTGCATTCTCTTCCCCCCTCCCTTCACGCAGAGAGAGAGAGAGAGAGAGAGAGCAGAGAGAGGCGCAAGGTGGGCAGAAGTCTCCGATTGCTTCCTTCCTTCCTTCCTTGGCTTGCTTTGCTTGGCGACACGGGGATTTTTGCGACGATCCACGCAGAATCAGCAGCAACTGCCTCTCCTTCCTCGTCGTCTTTAGGCCCGGGAGGCAAAGCGAGAGTGAGAGAAGGAAAGAGGAAGAGAGGGAGCATCATGCCCAAAAGGAAGGTAAGGACTCGCCTTCTTTCTGGTCTTGGCCAGGCTTCCATGTCGCGGGAGGAGGAGCGCGAGCCACAATCACGATGAGCATCCCCATTGGGAGAAGAGCCTTCTGCATCTCCTTGGGGGGAAAGGCCTTGGGTGGAAAAGGGAGAGAGGAGTGACACACTGGAGCTCGGGATAGGTACCATTTTTTAATGTTTAGTATGGATCCGCTTTGTCCATCTTTCCTGGAGTGCAGACACCCGATCCGCACCGGCTGGCCTTGGAAGCTAAGCAAGGTCAGCCCTGGTGGACATTTGGATGGTAAGGCCACCAAAAAACAAAAACAAATCCCTTCTTTCCAGCTCCTTCCTCTGAAACAGTGGTTCTCTCTATTTGTGGGTCCCCAGATGTTTTGGCCTTCAACTCTCAGAAAACCGGCTGGCCTTGGAAGCTAAGCAGGGTCAGCCCTGGTGGACATTTGGATGGGAGGCCACCAAAAAAAACCATCAACCAGTTTCTTTTTCCATCTCCTTCCTCTGCAACAGTGGTTCTCTCAACCTGTGGGTCCCCAGATGTTTTGGCCTTCAACTCCCAGAAAACCAGCTGGCCTTGGAAGCTAAGCAGGGTCACCCCTGTGGACATTTGAATGGGAGCACCCCTCCCCCCCCCCAAAAAAAACAAATCCCTTCTTTCCAGCTCCTTCCTCTGCAACAGTGGTTCTCTCAGCCTGTGGATCCCCAGATGTTTTGGCCTTCAACTCCCAGAAATCCTTCAATTCCCAGAAAACTGGCTGGCCTTGGAAGCTAAACAGGGTCAGCCCTGGTGGACATGTGGATGGGAGCCCCCCCCCCCCAAAAAAAAACAAATCCCTTCTTTCCAGCTCCATCCTCTGAAACAGTGGTTCTTTCAACCTGTGGGGCCCCAGATGTTTTGGCCTTCAACTCCCAGAAAACCAGCTGGCCTTGGAAGCTAAGCAGGGTCACCCCTGTGGACATTTGAATGGGAGCACCCCTCCCCCCAAAAAAAAAAATCCCTTCTTTCCAGCTCCTTCCTCTGCAACAGTGGTTCTCTCAACCTGAGGCCCCAGATGTTTTGGCCTTCAACTCCCAGAAATCCTTCAACTCCCAGAAAACCGACTGGCCTTGGAAGCAAAGCAGGTTCAGCCCTAGAGGACATTTGGATGGAAGGCCAACAACAAAACAAGTCCCTCCTTTCCAGCTCCTTCCAGTGAAACAGTGGTTCTCTCAAGCTGTGGGTCCCCAAATGTTTTGGCCTTCAACTCCCAGAAATCCTAACAGCTGGTAAACTGGCTGGGATTTATGGGAACTGTAGGCCAAAACACCTGGGGACCCACAGGTTGAGAACCACTGTTCCGAAAGAAAGAGCCACCTCTGAGGATGCATTCATTCCTTGCCAAAGTGGGAGGAAAGCCTGCAAAATGAGTGTTAAACCTGGGATTTGACCTCCAAAAGCCACCCAAGGGGCGCTGTCTATGCTGTGCATAGGATGTTATGGCATTGGGTGCCATTGACGAGACTGGTGTGTGTAGATCAGGCATGGGCACACTCTGGCCTTCCCTTCAGGTGTTTTGGACTTGAACTCCCACAATTCTGTTAGGAATTGTGAGAGTTGAAGTCCAAAACACCTGGAGGAAGGGCCAGAGTGTGCCCATGCCTGTGATAGATAGATATAGTTATATTGTGTGTGTGTGTGCGTGTGCGTGTGTGTATGCCTGTATAGTACATTTTGCCATGGTATTGCAAATGAAAAAGAAAAAATAAATAAAGGAGTTGGTCAATACTGAACACACACACGCCCATGACTTTTTGCCCTCCGTATGTCTTTATATGTGCGTATTTGTGTGTTTACGCACAACTGTTGATGGTTTCCGCCTCCCAAACTGAGTTTGTGTGCAGGTCAGAGAGAGATAGAAAAAAGGGGAGAGGGAGAAAGGAGGAGGGTGAAACGAGAGAAGGAGAAAGAGAGAGAAACATGAGAAAGGGAAAAAGAGAGAATGGAACCCACACAAACAGACTCATTTCTCGTTGAAGAGAGAAGGGGCCCTCCGATTGGTGCCTCCCTCCTTGGCCTCCCTCGCCCAGCCTTAGTGACTCCAAGGTAACCAGGCGAGGCGGGGGAAGAAAGGAAAGCCATGTTGACTGTCAGTCCCCTAAGTGCCAGCCAGAGCAGGCAGGATGGTGCCCCTTGGAGCCCTGGCCTGGTGGCTTTGTCAGGCCACATAACCCCGGGAGCACCTCCAAGGCGAGAAGCAAGACCTTGTCAAATGATAGCAATTGCATAGCATTGATCCAGGGCAGTGCCCAGCTGCATTCATTCTGTAGTGGAGATGCACCCAGAGATGCCCCTTTGCCTTTGTGTGGGAGTTTATCCCGGCTATGCTCCTGCTGCTCAGAATATAAAAATGTTTATATGTGTATATATGAATGACTTGGGCCTGCTTATATCACACAGCTACCTGTGGATACACACTCTGTGTGTGTGTGTGTGTGTGTGTGTACGGGTATGTGTGTGTATAGGTTCTGTAGGTTGGTTCTTAGGTTGAATTTGTTTGTAAATAGGAACAAGTACAAGTGTAACTCCAGCCACACACACACACTAAGCTGCTGAACTTGCTGACCAAAAGGTCAGTGGTTCAAATCCGTGGGATGGGGTGAGCTCCTGCCATTAGCCCCAGCTACTGCCAACCTAGCAGTTCAAAAACATGCAAATGTGCGTAGATCAATAGGTACCGCTCCGACGAGAAGGTAACGGTCCTGTTGTCTCACCTCCATTTATTACTAGGAGTCATTTGTAAGTCAGATGTTTTACTTGGGGACTGCCTGTATTTATTTCTATTTATGCCCCATATTTCTCCCAACATGAGAACCAAGAAACTAATCATTTAAAAAGTTTTATGCTGTAGTAATCAGCAGTTCTGACTCCTGCGGATTTGATTTCTCACAGATTTGATTTCAAAAATGTAATCTCTAGGTCCTGTTGTCTCACTCCTGTTCTTAACTGTGAGTCATTTGTAAGTCAGATGTTTGTAACTGAGGGACTGCCTGTATGTATGTATGTGTGTATGCATATATATATATACACACACACACACATACACACTGCATGTGTGTGTCATACATACATACAAACATACATACATGCACACACACATAATGTTTGGCAGAGTATTTATACACCCTTTTAATATGTACAGGGATTCAGACTACCCTGATCTAAGGTGTACAAGCACTGGCGTACCAAATACCCTAAAGCAGGGGTCCCCAAACTTTTTAAAGAGAGGGCCACGTCACAGTCCCTCAAACTGTTGGAGGGCCGGATTATAATTTGAAAAAAACATGAATGAATTCCTATGCATGCTGCACATATCTTATTTTTAGTAAAACAACAACAACAACAACAACTTTAAAACAATACAATAATTAAAATGAAGAACCATTTTAACAAATATAAACTTAGTATTTCAATGGGAAGTGTGGGCCTGCTTTTGGCTGATGAAATAGGATTGTTGTTGATGTTGTTGTTGTGTGCTTTCAAGTCATTCCAGACTTAGGTTGACCCTGAGCGAGGGCCGGGTAAATGACCTTGGAGGCCCGTATCTGGCCCCCGGGCCTTAGTTTGAGGACCTCTGCCCTAAAGTTACCAGATTACATTAAATCTTGAAAGTAGGATCAGCCCTGGTTATTACTTGGATGGAGATCACCAAGTAATGCCAACTACTGTAATCTGTATTTCAGAGGGAGAAAATGGCAAAACCACCTCTGAGTGTTCCTTGTCCAAGAAAACCCAATAGAATTTATAGTGTTGCCGTAAATCAACAGGTGACTTGAAGGCACACCACACAGACACAAACATTAACCATTTCAGCCTCCGAAGCTAATTTTGTCAAAGATAAATCTCTCTGCAGCTGTACTGTTGCTTGGAGGGAGTCAGAGCACATCAAACAGGTAATGAATTGCATCCAAAATGGGGATGGAATATAAAGGCTGAGATGTATGATGAAAAACCTGCAATTCCGATGTAACTCAAACAACTGCATATCATTTCTACTTTCAGTTTTTGTCACCAACCCTTTCTTTGGTTAATTGCTGTGTTGAATATTAGATCTGTAAGCTTTTAGGAACAGGGGCCTGTCATTTTGCATTCTGTCATGAATTGTACACACTGATGGCACTGTATAAAAAGGCAAGGACACAATTGAATATGATATGAATGCCTTCCTGTGCACTGGTTATCTGTGAATTAAGATTAGATAATTGTCCTTCCTTTTGGAATAATTTTTTACAGGCTAAACTTTAATGAAAATTAAAAACACAGTCATGCACATGCAATAATACAAAGAAATGTAAGAGGAAAATTAACAATTGAAACCAGATACCATCATACACAGCTCAAGAATAAAGTCAGTTTAATAATAGCCAGGGTGAGCAGATATAGTGTGATAGTGTAACTATAATTTAGGAAGTGCATGGGAGTCCCAATAATTTTGCTCTTTAGGAAGAAGCTTTTAAAATGCATCCATAGATTTTGTTGTTTATTCGTTCTGTCATTCATGGTCAATCCAGTCACTTCAAGGATATAATCCGCCCACCTTGCCCTTAGTTGGCCCTCTTCCTTTTTCCTTCCATTTTCCCCAGCATCATACTCTTCTCCAAGCTTTCCTGGCTTCTCATTATGTGGCCAAAGTACTTCATCTTTGCCTCTAATGAGCAGTCGGGCTTTATTTCCTGAAGTATGGACTGGTTAGATCTTCTGGTGGTCCTAGGCTCTCTCAGAATTTTCCTCCAGCACCACAGTTCAAAAGCATCTATCTTCCTTTGCTCAGCATTCTTTGGGTCCAGTTCTCGCATCCATACGTGCTTTAACTATGTGGATCTTCGTTGTGCTCCAGCAGATAACTAATACTAATACATATCAGCAACATATTCTAACAATTTTGCCTAACAATCAGAAACCAGTTCACGTGCATGTTCAGGAGGCAAAATACTGTACATTGGATTAGGGCT